CAATAAGGGAAATAGGACGGTAACTATATATTTTTAGCTGATTTCAAAGTGAGGGGCAAAGTTGTTAATTTCTTATTTTGTTTTCCTTTACTCTGATTCACTAATTTCTCAATGTTCCAACCACCACCTATTATCATGGTGTTTGGAACACAACTAAGAGGACCAGATCCTGGACATAAGAAGCCAAAATGAGCTTTCTTCATAGGGTGGCCAGTTTCAGCCTTAGAGATAGGGTGAGGAGCTCCTTCATCCGGGAGGAACTCAAAGTAGAGGCATTGCTCCTCCGCACCAAAAGGAGTCATTTGAGATGGTYCGGGCATCTAATTAGGATGCCTTCTGGATGCCTCCCTTGGTAGGAGGCCACACTGAAGAAGACCCAAGATGAGCTGGAAAATGGTACTGGGGAGAGGGAGGTCTGTGTTTCGTCTCCTGGATCTTTTGTCTCTGCAAACCAACTACAGATAAGGGGTAAAAGATGGAGATGGGGTTTTCCCTAACCCAGTTCAAGTCCAGTCAAGAAGAACAAGTCATGTGTACAAACACATATGTGAATAGAAATGGAGAAGGCCATGGCCAGTTTTGTAAATGAGTATGTATCAATGGTGTGATCTAATACAGCGTGCAGTAATGCGTAAAGTTTAAAGTTTGTAACAAAACTCAAAGCTGATTGGTAGACTGATTCAAGAGTAAGCTTTGTGAAGAGGAATGCAGTCAAATTACATCTTTGTAGTTGAATAAAGACATAAAAGTAGTAAGCATGAGTCTTTGTTTTACTCCAAAGATAAAGACAAGATTTGATTTGGAAAAAAGTGACTTTTAGCTTGTTTTTTACCAGGACCGTAGTGACAAAAACAGGACTAAGTCTAAAACAGGACTTGTTTCCCTTTGCACGCTGTAAAAAATCATGACTGACTAAAGGAAACAAGAGCAAGTTTTACTCAGGGCCTACTRTATGCCAGGCTTTAAACACACATTTGCAAAGGGGAGGTGCAAGTAATGGATGTTTATTTGGCTTTTAAAGTCCCTGCACAGTTGCAGTTTCAGGTTATTAATGATTAGATGAGTAACAGCTGCTCCATGCTGAGTAGATGCTGAAGATGATAATATCATTGCAGGGAGGTTGGAATGAAAGACATGAATCAGACAGCAGAACTTTGATGAATGTTGAATGTTTCTCTAGTGTGTGATCTGGTAAAAAAAACTGTCAACAAGAGAAACTGAAGCAAAGGTTAAAAACAACCTCCTACAATTATTTAGCGTGTAATGTTTGTTATTTTTATGGTTTATTAGACTTTCTATCAGCCACTGCCATTAAAAGTGGGTAATAATGTGTGTGTTTCTGTCTATCTGTTGAGGTGGGGGTGTTTGTTTAACAGTCTGTTAGCAAAATATCTCAAGAATCATAAAAAACTATTTTAACTCTGTTAGTAAGCACTAAATGTTTACATCTAAACTGATTGATTTTTAAAGTCATGGCTGCCACATYTGGTCAACATTAGCTGTAAAGTCCAAACTCACAGTAAGCTCAATATCTGGAAAGTTATAATCATTCTTGTATTGGATTAGATTTACAAGCATTGGTGACCATCTTCAATTGTGTTGACTCCTAATCTTGATGAGTTGTAAATGTACATTCAGCGATTACTTCCTGAAAAGTTCACTAACACATGTCTAGGTCATGGTTCACAAAATGCTTTGTTAAAAAACAGGCAAAGTAAAATCCAATGGTTAGTGGCAAACCTTGTTCTGTCCATTTTTGATCAAAGCTGGGTATGACTCTTTTACCATACCCCGTCTCAGGTCAGCATCTGTAAAACAGACTGAGTCATAGCCTTTTTTTTTTCAAAGATTGAATAGCTATGGCAGCCATTTTTAATCAGGATGACACTAACAGGTAACTAGATACTGCATAGTGGTAACAAA